ACTCCCACTAGGTTTATATCTGGGACTCTCCACCATTTGACCTTAGAACTGAAGAAGCTTCTCGTATGAGAGGTGAAACGTCTTCAAGTAACTTAAAGAAGTCCAGACGCTTTTCTTTGCAAGCTCCTTTGAGCACTAATGCATTGGCGTCATTTTTTCTTTCTGCAGGTCACTGAAGTGTTACTGTTGAGGTGAAGAACAAATATTTCAACCTCTACGTCACATTAATATGATGTTGATTGGAGCTGTGTTTGTAGTTGCGTGTAGTGCCCAAAGCAGTCGAGCCCTTTAAGTAGCTCAGAAATAATCAGACTAAAGCCTGGGTGCCTCTGGTTTGTAACAGCTTGAAAACAAAGATGATGGTAGGAAGAGTTGAGATGTTTGAACTGATAAAAGAAGGTAGCCATGACAAATGCTTCGTTTTCTATTTCTCAGTCTTGCACACAATGTTCCCCTGCAGGGTTCATGTAAACTCCACTTTACTGGATGGTGATACCTGTTTTATAAGTCTCCCACAGTCTGTTTCCTAAAATGACATTATGTTGTGAGCAGTGAGAGGACCTGGATTTTTTTATTCACATTTTATTACATGTTTGGCTGCGGGGTCTGGTCATTCTCCTGCAGATGAGAGAGCGAGGACTGGCTCTCGGGATCAGACAGAAGCAAAACAACAACTCTCTACTGCTCTGCTAACTACATGTTTCTCTAAGAGGACCGAAGGACAGTGTAACTCATCTTCGTCGATGCAAGCTTTAGTTACACTGTAAGCAAAAACCTGATCCTCTGTCACAGATCTGATTTTGTCACAGCTGTCCAAACCCCACAGGTCTGCCTGCTGGAACTTTTTCCACAAGGTCACACAGGAGCGCAGAGATGAGGACATATACAGACTAAATGGAGGTGTAGTCTGATAGTGCAGACAGTTTTTAGCTCAAGCTGGCCTTAACAGTTCCAGGTCACACTTTAAGAAATTACTGCGCAGAACTTTGAAGATGTCCCTCTTCCTTTAATGCGGATCTTGGCAGACTCATGTTTTAATCAACTAATTCCTCCGAGCTTCTGGCAAGAGGTTAATTAATGTATTCTAATGCAAACAAAATCTAAAGCCTGGTTTTACATCATACAAGTTAAATGTAATTCTTGCAGACTGGACAAGGTAAAGCAAATCCGTTTTCAACTGTTTAATTATTATAATTCAGTTTTATTTCTCCCTCAACATAAGGGATACTTGCATCATTCAGGACAGAAACAGGCCCCTGTTGTTAGTCAGATAAAGGTGCATTGATTTCTCTGGGTAGTGGACGAGTTGCTGCATAGAGGGCACTGTCATCGGCAGATTGACAGGCAGATTGGTTCAGCATGTCTACAGATATCTTAGCCCAAAGGTGAATCTGTTGATTTACATTCCTACCCTTCACCTACAGCAATGAGCTGGAGCTAATGCCTGGAAAAGTGAAACAGAAGTACTTCTACAGATAGAAGTGGCTGAGTCTGAGCTCATCCTCAGCAATGGGGCAAGAAGCTGAGTCATTCAATAAGAGCTCAGAATAGAGCTGCTACTCCTTCACATTAAAAAGGAGCCAATTACGGTGGTTCAGACATTTGACCAGCATGCCTCCTGGATGCCTAACATGTGATCTGAGAAGACCCTGGGGCAGACCCAGGACGTGCTAAAGGTCTGGGTGGGTGGATGGACTGTGAAATGTTCACACTGACAAGCAGGATGAATGATCAAAGCGAGAAAATGTACATATATGTATGAACACGTGGTCTCGAGTCAGCAAAGCAATTCTTACAAAGTTCTGCATAAACTGACAGACAAAGACGGTGATGCCGTGTCTACACTGAGGGCTAAAAACACTATGAGCACATTAAAGCAACGCTTTAAAGGCTGACAGCTACACCGACACAAATGTGTTTTGCCTTTTCAGACAATCTGCTTTTATGAAAAACACTTGGATATTCTGTTACAAACAAAAAAAGGAAACTATAAGTTGATTCATTTATTTTGAAAAACAAATATTTTTGAAAAATGGTTTTTCACACATTTTATATTCCTAAAACCACAGATTAACAATTCAAATGATAGTTTGTATCAAGATCCTGCCTTGATACAAACACAGCTCATTACGATGAAAATCTTAGATAAAGCATCATCTCTTGCTCACAGTGCTGTCTACAGACCTTCGTCTCTGAGCCCAGAGCCACTGCTAATAGTCCGAACATGTCATTATTCATCAGCGAGGACAGAAAGCAGGACTTTAAAAACCCACAGCACAAACTCACACACAAACACACACAGAGTTGTGTCTCCATGTGTTTAGGGGGCGTTACATTAGATATTTCACAGCGACTTATTTAAACCTTTACCATAATTAGTGCCCAGCCTTACTCTAACCTTACACTGACACTAAACTCGGACTAGTTACATTACTGTGGAGTTTAACTGAAGCTACAACATGAGTAAAATAAACGCTAAAACAAGCTAGTCCACCTTCCACACCAGAGTCAACTCTCGCAACACACGTGACCACCAAAGACATTTTTGTTTGGGACCAAAGAACTCTGGGGACACCTCTAGATCAAACATCATACAGATGTAACACAGTGTGAGGTACAAAAAAACCCCAACAACCTGCAAATACTCCCAAAACATGCACATATGCATTTGTGAATGAAGGTTGAAGTCTTTACACACACACCCACACACTTATTAGCGTCGTGAGGGACGCTGTGTTCTCCTCTGTGAAAATGAATTGTGTGTGCATGTGACAAATGCTGCACTGCTAAACTGCAATGTCTTGTCAAGGTCTGAGGTGTTGTTACAAAGTGTGTAGTATGAAGAGTGCACAGCTCTCTGTTGTGGACCGATTCTGCTGAGTGTTCATCCCTGACTGCTGACTCTGACTTAAAGGAGCTCAGGACCTTATTTAAAGCCCAGTCGCCCTCACCCCGCAAAACTTTAATCACACTAGGAGGCTCAAATCTGGGAACCCATCACTTTGTAATTAAGTAATTAAGTTTTTCAGGCAATGAGCAATTGTTCCTGGCTTCAGTGTCCCTAGCAGATACTCAGATCAAGACATCCTGTTCTATCAATCGGTACCGGTCCATGAGTCATTTGGTAACGGGCCGCGAGAGTTGAG